AGTTTGAAGCTTGGCCACAGGAAGACTTCAAATGCTGACATTTAAGTCTGTGTCTATACTGGAAGGACAGACACTGGTATGAGTGACCAGTTGTTACTGGATGGGATTCAAATGGTAACACATGTAACAAAACGTCCGTTGTCCACAGGTTCAGGTTCTAATTGTATAGTTCTGGGTAGGCATTCACTTTTTACAGTCTCAAGACTCAAGCACTTTCTCCTCCATGTCTTGATTCTGCAAATGTAAGTAGTTTTGATTTAAATGTCTTCTCAGCCATTGGATCAAAGCCAATGGTCTAACCCCTTCGACAAATCGATTAGAACTCTGCCACTAAAGGCTTTGTCTAGCATGCCTCTGAGAGCTCTCCTGCCCAAGCTGTCATGAACAGTTACATAGGTGTGTCTTTCACGGTGAAACCAATAGGGAGGATGGCTCGATGGTGAAATCACTCTTTCTTCTGTATGTCAAGTCAGTGCCCTGGAGTAAGACACGTTCACCTATCTGGTCCATAGATAGACTGGACCAAATCCCACTCACAGCCTCTATTGCCCTTCTCTCGTACTCCCAGACAACCTTGAGCCCTGACAAACTGCTTCTAACATTTCTATAACACTCTCCTCTGGCTGCCACGGGTACTTGTTCATGTGCGTACACACATACACACAAATAAAAATAAATCTAAAAAGAAGTTTGTAAAAGAAACTCTACATGGCACAGTATAATAAGTACTTTTCTGGTTGCTGTGACAAAATATTTCAGGATTACTACTCTATTGTTATAAGAAGGAGCTGAGCCTTAAGCTCTCTCGACCTACATCCTTTCTGGTTCCTTCTAAGTGTTCAAGGTATTCCTCAGCTGACAAACATCTCTCACAGAAAAGACCGTTAAGTTAGGGATTTAAAAATTAACTGTCTCTGTCGACTCAACCCTCAGGCTCAACTGTCTATGTGGTTGCACCAAAGTTCTTGGAGCCTGAGTCCAAAGTGATCAAAAGCATTGCGCATGTTTCAAAATATCTAAATTGACGCAAATTTTCCCTTTCATCATGACATTTGGTGGCCTCTAAATACAACTAGTGGAAGGCTCAGGTTAGAGTACTCAGAGTGGAGACAGCTCAGCAGTTGAAGAGAAGGCTCGGAGTTCCTCCGTTTGCATAACCGAATCTGCAAAAAGAAACACTGGCATCCGTAATAGGAGGACAGTCTATGGGTCATTTTATTGACCAAAGATGGAATTAATGGCAATGCCACATCTATGTCAAACACACACAGTAAAACTTTATGGTTCCTCTCCATGAAATATTCTGTTTATGTCTAATCTAATGCTGTTTTTTTTTTTTTTTGGTTTTTACATTTTTTTCTTCCCCTCCCCCACTCTCTTCCCTGTCCTCTTTGTCTCCTGAGACCTATTCCCTTTGGAAATGCATTAGTTACCTAGGAAACCTTAATGCCATTTTTTTTTAATGAGTGGAGTTTGGTACAACATAAAGCTAATTTATAGGGTGGTTAGGAATTCGTGTCGTAACTAGTGAAACAGGAGACTTCATTATGACTTCTAGATCCACCTGTGTGGCAGGGCTGCATACCTCCACTCTATCATTATGGGTAATTTTTTGAGGCCTAATTATAAATATGCATTCTATTTCACAAAGTGAGTCGATTCATTGTTGTTCCATGTAATGCATCAGATTGTTCAGCACAAGCCCCAGAGTATAATTAGTGATCGCAACAGGACAGTAACACACTAGGAAATCTGTTAACGGTGGAAGGATGTGCTGGAATTTCCTCTTAAATGACGAGGTGATTCTGCCCCAGAGGCGGCGAGGGAGGAATGAGGATTTTAAACCCTTCATCCATGTCTCTCATGAGATCCACATTCGGAAATTAAATAAATTCTAAGTATGTCCATGGTCCATGACTTCTTTCTGCTCATTTCTTACTACCTGAGAACACACACACACACACACACACACACACACACACACACACACACACAAAGTTATATTAATGAAATATGGATGGAACACAAATAATAGGCATTTTTCTTTCTAATGACTGGCACACTCAGCAGTGGGGGTGTCAAAGACGTCAGTGTGAGGACGGCAGAACTTGGATCTGGGGTTTGCACTACATCAAGCACTGTGTGGTGAGTTTTAAATCACTGGGTTCCTTTGGTCTTCATAGTGCACCTGTGGGATGGACACCATTTCACCAACTCTGGATGGGCTTTGATCACCGAGGAGCCCTGCCTAAAAACACACCTAGTAGGTTGAGGGAACAGCAACAGCATGAAACTCAGATTTGTCAGACCACAAAACTGACCCTTTCAATGAATTCGACTTCCTGGTCTCTTTGTGTGATCTTTTGTTTGCTTGAGTATTTTCTGTCCCTCTAAAGAAAGTCGCTGAAAAACTAGGGGACTGAGTTTCTTCGGTGACTGCGTGTAGGGAGGAGTCTGAGAAGATGTTAGTATATCATAATATGTTCACTATGTTGAAATTGGTCCTTGAAGCAAAGGTGGGCTTGGAAGACCTCTTAGAGCTAAGCTTACTGAATAAGTATAGACACATCATCCAGTTTCCAGGGACAAGTGATCTCCTTTGGGAGGGGGGGAAGAATAGAATCCCGGCAAACAATGTCTCATCAATGCTCCAGGACATTTGGGAAGAGCTGCTAACCGGCAGGTTAACCTATGTGCTTACTGCTTAACAAAGGTGTAGCTGTGTATTGCGTGGGGAGCCAAGATAACATGATGCATCACATTCCCCTGACCCTAAGTTCCCATTTCTAATGCAAATGCCTTTTGCATTCACTTTGTTTTAGAACTGTAGACTTTCTGACTCCATCATCTGGAACAGCTGTCTGTATGAGTGGGGGTGGGGACTGAGACCAAAAGCAAGCACAGGGACTCTAGCTAGTCAGCCCTAGTACCCTCCAGCAACAGGCAACTTGCAGATATTTTAGGATCAGCTAAGGTATGCTATTTATACAAAGGCAAGTAAAAGAACTGCAGTGAAGGCTAGCCATGTGAGCCAAGGCTAGCTGCATAAAGAAGCTTATCTTTGTCGTGTATAGTCAAACAGGACCATTAGGTCCCATACATTCATTTCCTGGGTCAATATTTCACTGTGAATTAACCATATGCTATTGCTGCATGAGGGACCCTTTCCACCCTAGATAAGCATAAGGCATTCACTAAGCTGAAACAAGAGAAAATGCCATTTTCCAAGAGGCTCAGATTCATTTCCACCCTTTCATTTTGTTTCTGTTTTGCGTTTCAACCACACTGTGGCGCTATTACAAAAGATAAAGGTAGGCCAAAGGCAAGCTCTAGGAATTCGCCTTAGGAGAGAGTTGAAAGGGGGCTTTCAAATAACTGAACCGGGCTCCTGCTCTCACGGACTGCTCTCGGGATGGTGCCTCAGATACAATAGGGAGAAAAGGCAAATCCTTTGACGCAAAGGTGCTGTCAACAGGTTGGTGGCCAAAACCAGGGAGTCTGCTTAGAAAGGCCACTACCTAGCTAGCTAAGACAGGACTGTCTGTGGAGTGAGCACACTCCATGGCTTCTTGCCCTGTCTTCTCTTAACTCTAGCTATCTATAGGGCTCTTAACTCTGGTCGTTCTGCAAAAACTTAAACTCTCTATTTAGAAACCTGGGTTTGCCTAGAAGTCACTCGGACTCTGACGGGCTTTTATCTACCTGTAAGCGAGTGTGTCTTTCTGCCTCTTTTTCTGCCCAGCATCCTCTTTAGACATCTGAGCTCCTACAAGTCCAAGATGCCTTTGCATCTGCCGAGAGAAGGGAGGACCTTTAGCTTTTCAGTGGAAAGAAACAAAAAAGGAGAAGATTGACTGCCTGCGGGGGGAAGAAAATCCTCAGATAGGTCTTGCATAAAGAAAAGGACAACCGTTCTCCATACGGGTGGGGGTTGATGGGGGCGAATCAGTTCTCCTAGGAAAGTGCGGTTTTTGACCCCTGCTCTTGCCTGGGTCTCTCCCTGCTCCCCTCCCCCGCAATACACACACACACACACACACACACACACACACACACACACACACACACACGACACCGCACATATTTGGCAAGATTAAGGTGTCACCTCTCATATTACAAGGCCTGTTGACTGCAGGCGGAGACAGACCCTCCTGCACCCTTGAGTTGGAAACAATGCACTCTCCCAGCCGTCACCCAGGTCTGGCAAAGGGAGGCAGCCAGCCAGTGCACCGCATCTGCAGAACAAATCGGAGTCTTGAACTCTGCAGCCTTTTCTTCTGACTGTTCATATTTAAGCTTGCCCCTCTTAGACCCCTCCTCCCTCCAGACCGCCAGTGACCGGGGAGCAGCCGGCTGAGCAGCCCACACGTGTATTTAACCCGTTCCTCCCTGCCTGGCAGTCAAGCACCACTTTCGTTGCAGTCTGTGGAGCCCCGGGACCAGGAGCTTGAGAAATGAGCCCCTAGAACTCGGCCGGCAGAGAGACTGAAGGGAAAGGAGGGGGAAGCAGGGGGAGAGAGGCAAGTGCGGGAAGTGGGGGAGGGCAGGGGCGGGCCAGAGGACCTCGAGAAAACCAGAACCCCACAGAGCACGCCCAAGCCAAACCTCCAAAGTGCTGTGTGGCAGAGCGAGAGGGAAACTGCCGCCCGATCGGATCCGGAGGAAGAAGGAGATATTTTGGCAGGAGGGGAGCCTTTGAAGGAGGACTCAGGCCTTCTGAGGGGACTGTTGGAGGTGACGTCCTTGGGCCTCCGTGGGTGCTGCAGGCCATTTTCGATGTGGCAGCCCCCATCAGCCAGGATAATGATGAGGCAGGTACAATCTATCTAGTATGCAGCCCCCCAGACTCTCCATCCTTTCTGGCCTCCCTTCGCCCTGCAGCTTCTCTTGGCCTCAACCGGTGGGTGCAGTTCTGGCGCTCCTGGGTGTGGACCAAACGCACACAACTCCAAGGAATTTTCAGGTTTTGAACCTGGAACCTTGCTGAACTACACTGCGGGTTGCTTATCAGACACTTTAATGGGAAGACGAGGAAGAGGTGGAGTATTAAATCGCGCGTGTGAGTCAAATGTCCTGACAAGAGGTGACTTGGAGAGTGGTTACGGTGGTGGGGGTAGAGTGGGGAGGGCGCTTGGACTTTGAATTCCACCTTGCAAGAATCAGGGAAGGAGTGAAGGAGCAATACTCTACTCTCCGGGTCTCCATTTCTCCTTACCACTAGGATCTCCCCCACCCCCACCCCCCTGCATTTCTCTTGGACAGCGGTAGAGCAAAATCTAGGTGTACTGACCATTGTAACTTCTGAGAGAACCAGCTTTGAACAAATGGGGTCTAACGGGTAGCTAAAATTATCTCCAAGTAAGACCTCTGCCTGAGATCCTTTCTCAAATGAATCTAGCGGTTGTGGAAGAGAGCGTCGATACTTTCGGGAAGTCGGGAAGAGGTGTGTTGCTTGCCTTTTTTCTTCTGGGCGAGCTGTTTTTGTGCAGAGCGGAGAGTCCTGGGCGAATGCTCAGCTCCAGGGCCCGGGTCCTACTTTGGAAGGAAGGGGTAGAGAAGTTGGAGACTGCGTAAAATGCGGGGCTTGGCCTCATGCCTCTAGTTTTCTTTCACGCACGCGCCGCGCACGCAAACCAACCCCTCCCTTGGTTGCTCAGGACCCCCCACCCCCACCTTACCTCTGTGATTTAACCTCCCTAGACAGCATGCACTGCGCCTTGGTCCCCAGGACTGGCGAGTTCAGTCCTGAGAGAGCAATTGTTCTTGGGCGGGTTCCTGTGGTGGGGGTGGGGGGTAGTGGTGATAGGGGGTGGGGAGAGATTCAAAGCTAGAAGGGTCTGAGGTTTGGAGGTAGAGTTTAAGGTTGAGACTCAAGCTTTCCTGAAGCAAGGGGCAAGAAAGGCCCTCTGCCTCGTTAAAAGGAAAAAAAAGAAAGATAATAGAATCTTAAAAGAAAAAATTCAAAAAGAAAAATTTCAAGAATAAGACAAATCGAAGATACCAACGTGTAAAACATAATGATAAATTAAATGTTTTCTATGACTCCTCCCCATCTCTAAAAGGGAAATCAAATATAGGAGGTACTGGGGGATAGGCTATTTTGGAAGGGTTGGTTGGTTTGTTCGTTCGTTCGTTTGTTTTCCTTTAAAGGGGACTAGGAGAATTGACCCGGTCTCCCAGTTGGTCTCAAGAGCAAACTCTAAAGTGCTGGGGCACCGGCCTGCGAATCGCTGCGGGCGGGGCTCGGGGGCGAGGGCTTGGCGCGGAAGGGGTTAAGGCGCTGAGCGCAGAGCCATCTGGCCGGGTTGGCTGGTTATAACCACGCAGATTATGTTCACGGGACTCAGAGTTGAAGGCTCCTCTCCTTACCCAGCAGCTCCGCGCACCGCCCCGCGAGAGAGCCCGGCGCAACTTTCTTCTCTCTTTCTTCCTCTCGTTTTTTCCCACCGCTGGGTAGTGGCTGCGGCAGGGGTGGGCGAGACTGAATGACCGAACTCGAGTCCACCTTTCTCTTCATGTCGACGTCCCTGGAAATAGTCACACGGATGCCATGGTTACTTCTGCCACGGTAAGGGGAGGTGGCGGGCACGCTGGGTGGGCAGGTCCGGGAGGGGGTGGGGGATCGCGTGGGGGAAGATTTTTCTTGAGGATCCGCGTGGGGGGTCCCCAACTCTGCACCGAGCCCCACCCCCACCGTGCAACAAGCTTTTAACTTTACGGTTCTTGTGCCTTCTTCAAAGTTTGCGGTGGGATCTGCCCAGGCCTAGGCGCAATCGCCACCAGCTTCCTTCCACATGCACGCACACGCTCGCGCGCGGATATGGCTCCCCACCTCCTCCTCCCTCTAGTCCCCTGGCTGCCCAAGAAACCGCCCTCAGTCTGGGAAAGTGATCAGGTTTAAGAAACCTGCAATTGAAAAGGGAGGAAGGTGGAGGGGAGGGAAAATGGGGACCACGAAAAGGCAAGAAAAGGGTTTCTGCATCCCCTGCCCCTCCACCTCATGCATACACACCTCCAGCCCTCCTACCTAGTTCTCCCAAAAGACTCCCGCGCATCCTATAACAAAAGGAGGTAGCAGACGAAACCGGGGCTAGGAAGAGGCCAGGATCCCGGCATTCGCCCTGCACCCCGCTGGCCACCGGGCACAGTTCTGCAGCTCCACGGCACAGCCAAGCAGGGCGTGGGCTGGGGGAGGGGACGCAAAGCTCTGGACCCGCGTGGTCACTTCTCAGGTTGGGGGAGTTGGGATTCCCAGCCCAGTAGTGCGTACCTGAGTTGGTGTCCCACATAAGCCTTTTCTCTGAGACGTTCCCTGGCCCCGGGCTACTCTGGCCAGCACCTACTCTACGGCTACCCACCCCGGGTCTTCGCGCAGATGTTGAAACAAGCGCTCAGCCCGCCAGTCTGGGACCCCGCCAGGGAACGGTGGGTACTGGGGCGGGGTCATCGGTAGGGATTTGGTAGCAGTTCCTCTGAGCCCATTTTTTTAGTCGTCCCCCCCACCCCCGCCAGAGGTGGTGCAGGAAGGCCGAGGGCATAGGAGACCCTCAGAGCTAGGTCGGAGTTAAAAGAACCCACAGCGGACTGTTTCCATTGCCACGGGGCTCTGCACAGTGGTGGATACTTCTAATGAAATTTGGCACGCTTGGGAACTGAAGGTGCAGAATGCGAAGCTGGTGTGGGGAGCGGGGAGGACCGCTCTGCTTGTCGCCTTCGGGCGTGAGTGGGTGTGCATCCAAGAGGCGCTACTGCTTTGCGCAATTTTGGCGTTCTTCCGCAGCTCTCAGATGCGCCTCACTGGGACCCCAGCATCAAATGGTGTGGACGCAGTTAATTAGAGAAGTCGCAGGCGGGAATTGGAATCGAGGCTCGCGTTTTCCAGGTGGGGGAAGCACCCACCAGGTTGACCCCGACCTCTGGCGGCCGGCGGGTAGCAGGTTGAGAGCCAGAGTGGAGGCTTCTCTAGGACGCGGTCCTAGCCAGCGCAGGCTGCTAGCACGGAGAGCTGGAGCCCCTGAGCCGGGACTTGTTTATGAGTGTGAAGAGGTTGGGGGCGGGGACCTGCTGGGGGAGGAGAAGGAAGGCTGTAAGGGTGTGTGTTACTCGCTGAGTCTGATGTTGGGAATTCTGCGGGTTACGGAGTGTGCTGGCAAACCTGCTTTTCAGTAAAGGGATGCCTTTCCTCTGCAAGCCAGCGAGCTAGGAAATACCTAAGCACAGTGCCCTGAACGTCAGGATGAAAAAAGAGTGTGCCAGAAGGGTGGCTTGTACAGGGGAGCTTTACAATCGGTTCTGTTTTCTAAATAGTCTGAACTTTACCCGCTTACTCAACCTCCCCTGATGCTGACGTGTTGCTCAAAGAAATTCGAGAGGTGGAATCCAGAAGATAAAGTCCAACTACCTCCGCCTTAGGCTCAAACAGACCCGAGTGTAGCGTTGGGAGAGAGGAGAAAGGGAGGAAAAAAAGCCGTCTGCAGGCTGCTGTATCTAGCAGTATGTAGGGACAGAACAAAGTTTACCGGCAGCGTTCGCCTCAGGGAGAGCAAGTAGACTTGGGCTTTGGTGAGGACTGTGTAGAAGATAGCCTTGAAAAAACTATATCTATATGAATCGGGTCTGAGTTCCCAAGGAGGGAGACTGATCCTTGGGTGGCCAGAGAACGACTGGGAGGGGCCTCTCAAGTCTCAGTGAGAGAGGGTTGGGGGGTGGGAGAGTAGGGAAAGAGGTGGAGCTCGCTGCAGCTTCCTCCAGCCCGGCTGGCCCTGGAGGGGTGGGGAGCCTGTGTGATGGGCATCTGTGTGCATAGCAGGAGATGAGAGCTTGTGGGAACATAGGTGTAGCTAATGAGAAATCTGTGCCTGTGAAGGGTGTCAGAGCTGGAGAAGTACAGTGTGCTGAAGACAGATGGCTTGTGCGTGCCTGCACAGACACATGGGGTGGATGGGGTGGGTGTGGTGTGGGAGGGCGGCTGGGCTGCGTGTGTGTGTGTGTGTGTGTGTGTGTGTGTGTGTGTGTGTGTGTGTGTGTGTATGTGTTAAAGGTGGACATATGTGGGAGCTGGACGCCTGAAGATTACCAAAGGGATGTGGAGGGGAGAGGATCTGATGAGAGTGAAGTGTTAACTTTATGAGCATGTGCAGCCCTGGGATTTGACTGGAAGGGCATTGGGGCACATGGGAGATAAAGAAGTATAGGCTCTGGCATTCTTGCAGAGAGAGTGCAAGGAAGGATGGCTTTTACCTCTCCCCCTTCTCCGCCTTCTGGTGAAGGGGCTGGAAAAGGCTTAGAATGAGGGTTGCACATTTAAGGGGAAAGTTCTTGTGTGCTGGCACAGGGTCCAGTGACAGAAAGTGCTGTGTGCACAAGACTCCTGAGTAAATGAATACATTTGCATGCCTAGTGGTAAGGATGCACATCGTACAATATCGTGTAACAGGCTCCTTTTAGTCGAAGGACACACTACTGCCAGTTGATTATTATTAAAAAATTAATGGGATGCCTACTAGATGCTCAGCTCGTTGTCGGGTGCTGGGACATGACACACAGCCTTGGAAAAATTCCTTCTCCATGCTCAGCTGACTGTTGCGGTGGTGCCAGGAATAGTGAGTGCGGTGCCTGTTGAGGTTTCTTCTAGAGTTGTTCATGGATCAGGGGAGCCAAGGGGAAGCTGACTTGAAATATATCTGTGGCTTTGTCAGAAGGATTCGATAAAGGTAAAGATGATGGATACTTCTGGTGGGTGGGAAGGGAGCTGGAGGGTATTACTGCTGCTTAACCTGAGCACAGGCTAGGGTGGGAATTGAAGGTGATGCATTCCAGGATGGAGTGTGCCAGAATGAATCTTGATACATGGACCTGGGGAAAGATACAGGGATGCAAAGGATAGGCTGGGCCGGTAGTGCTTGCTCTTCTTTGAGGCTTCTGCACTATGTCTGAGTCTAAAGCTACGCTGAGTATGTGCTAATGCTTTTGTCTGGGGACTTGCTGGGGGCTAAAGCAACGATGAGAAAACTAGCCAATGGGGTGGAGAAATGCTCATGGCTATATGGCCCCAGTGAAGGAATGGGCAGTGTGTTTTTGCAGGAATTCTGTAGGTCTGGGGAAGGGAGAAGCTGGTCTTGGATGCTTAGACCTGTGTCATAAGTGAACGAAGGTGTGGTTAGAGGAAGAGCTGTGGGTCCCAGGGAGTGAGCGCAGGGAGAAGCTCCTTGAGTTCACTGAGGTGTGAGCTAACTGGGACAAAGCAAGAAGAAGGCTATATACTTTATGGGTACACACATCTGCCCACCTGGGCCAGGTGACAAGGAAACCCTTTTGATCGTGGAAAGGCATCTGGGTAGGACAGTATGCGGTCAATGGCAGTCTTGCTTCATGAAATTGAA